ACTCTCACCCAGGAAGGACAAGCTGACCCCACCGCCACCCCAAGAATTCACGACTGGGAGACACCCCTGGCCCTCTTTTGGATGATATGGGGAAAGGTGGCAAAGTGGGGAGGAACAGGGAAAGCGGGAGAACACTAGGATCACAGAATCGTAAGGCTGGTAGGGACCTAAAGGTCATCTCCACCCCGTTGCCCCACAATGCAGGAATTCCAGCTAAAGCATCCTTGACAGATGACCATCAAACGTCTGCTTAAAAGTCTCCAGTGAAGGGGGGGTCCATCACCTTCCAAGGGATTTGGATGGCTTTTGCAGTCAGATTCTGCGCCCCCCCCATCCCATGTTTATTGGAATCACCAGGCTGGGTACTGAGAAATTCTGTGCAGCCCAAAAGCTTTCCAGTGCTATTCTGGGCCACCAGAAATCCACCATTCTGCTTTACCTTTTACCCCCAGGGTGTTTGCACCGTCATTCCTCTGATTGCAATCTGGTTTAACTGGGGGGGGGGCAGAATTAACTTGTACTCCACCCTGGAAGCTGTTGGCGAAGGATGGGTAATAAGTCCAATGAAATCACTGCATTATGTCCTACCTAAGACTATTTTCAACCTGCTGTAACAAGATTTATTTCCCTTTATCTTTGGTTTATTTTGTTTATTAATAAAATTAATATTTTTTGAAAGCCCCAAAGGGGGTTATGGATGGCTCACCCCTGAATTTCAAATGTGTCTTTTTGACTTAGATTCAGCCAGACTTTGAAAAAAAAGAAGAAATCATTCTCAGGACAGGAAATTCACTGCCCCATTTCCAGTTCCTTAGAGTAGAGTGTATTTAAACAAGAAGAAAAAATGGAAGGTGAGTAGCTGAGAGTCTAAGTTATCAGAGAAGGCCAAACATCTCAAATCCCAGAAAATTAAACATGGAGAAATAGAGCGAACAAAAATCAATTGGATGGGGGGAGGGGGGAAGAGTCTCAAGATGCCCCCCGGAGGTAGAGGTCTCCCCTTGCATGGGATGCCATCAAAGCCATAGATCTGGCAGACACTCCTGTTTTCTTCCCTCAGCATCGAAAAAATACATTTTAATTTGTGAAGGCCATTTAAAAGTATTACATGTCTATTGGCAGGCCACACTCAGCAGCCCAAAAACAACATCTGCTGGAACCTTGAATCCCATAAAGATTGCCAAAAGGATTTACTCTCCAGGAAGGACAAGGCCAGGAATTGCGCACTATGATTCTGGCTGTCCATCCATCCATCCATCCTATCTGGTGCAGAATTCTCATGCCTAAACGTACACAAAGATAATTGTGCTTAACCTAAGCTACCTTGCAGGGTTGTTGTGGAAATTCAATGAGGATTAGGACCCGGGAGATAACCAGGGTTCAGATCCCCACTTGGGCATGAAACTCACTGTGGGACATTGGGCTGGTTACTGTCTTCTCTCAGCCCAACCTACCTTTCTCATAAGGTGACCAAGGTGACCAAGGGTCTGGAAACCAAGCCTTATGAGGATAGGGCTCTCACACGGAAGATGGAGCAAGCTTTTTTCTTCCTGCTCCAAAGGGTAGGACCTGAACCAATGGCATCAAGTTACAAGAAAAGAGGAAGAAATTTCTGAGTGTAAGAGCCATTAAAGCAATGGAACAGACTCCCCCAAGAGTTGGTGGACTTGCCTTCCTTGGAGGTTTTTAATGAAAGGTTGAGATTCCTGCATTGCAGGGGGTTGGTCTAGATGACCCTCAGGGTCTCTTCCAACTCTACATTTCTATGATTCTACTGTTTTGGGTATTCAGTGAGGACTAAAACCTGGGAGAGGCCAAGATTCAAATGAAGCTCAATGGTCCATGAAGCTCAATGGGTATGAACTTATTGGTCTGTCACTGCCTCCTCTCAGCCTAAGCTCCCTTGCAGTGTTGTTGTAGGGATTAAACCAGGCATAGGCAAACTTGGCCCTCCAGATGTTTTGGGACTACAACTCCCATCATCCCTAGCTAACAGGACCAGTGATCAGGGATGATGGGAATTGTAGTCTCAAAATATCTGGAGGGCCGAATTTGTCTATCCCTGGATTAAATGAAGAAAGGGAGAGAACCATTTATGCTGAATTGAGATCATTGGAGACAGAAAGGGGGGGGGATAGAAGGCAATAAATAAATGAATAGTGCAAAAGGGGGCAATACTTTTAAGTCATTTTAAAATTGTACTTTAATGCTGACATCTGCCCTGGGCCCTTTGGGAGAAGGGCAGGTAATAAATAATAATAATTTCAATTCAATAAGTTTATTGCATTAGGCAAAGGTATTGACAATTTCATTGTGATTTAGCAACCTACCAGCATAGTATTAACACTGTAGTGCAGAACATACAAAGAATCCTAGAATGGTAGAGTTGGAAGGGACCTCAGGGATCATCTATTTATTTATTTTATTTTATTTCCTAAAATTTATACATCGCTTGATTGTAAAAAACAAGCAAACTCAAAAAGGTTTACAAAAGGATAAAACAAAAGAATCAAGAACAATTCACAACCATATTTTAAAACATACAAAAACATAAAATACTAAAACCAATTTAAATTACCTCCACTCTCTAAGCATCTACAAACAAAGAATGATTTTAGCAGTCACCAAAAAGAGTTCAGCAAAGGCGCATGCTTCATATCAATAGGCTGGGAGTTCCAAAGTACAGGTGCTGCCACACTAAATGATCAAGTTCTTACAAATTTGGAATGGGTATCATGTGACTCAAACATTCTATGGTCTTTCAAATGTGTTTGTGGGTGGGGTGTGGGTGTTGGTTTGTTTTTGCTTTTATTATGTATTTTGTGTTCTCATTTAGTATTTTTATGTTGTGAACAACCCTGTGATCTTGAAGGGCAGTATACAATTATTAGTAGTAGTAGTAGTAGTAGTAGTAGTAGTAGTAATTCCACTGCTCAAAGTGGTTGAGTAGGCATGTGCTGGGTAAGCTGCCCTTGTAAGTAAACTGGTCCCGAGTTGTTAAGGGCTTTATATACTAACAGTAACACCTTGAGCGCGTTGCAGAAATCAGTAGTGAAGTAAGCAATGCATGAACTACTGCGGCCAGCCTTTCCCGGTCCAAGCATAGCCGTGCAACCAGCTGCAGTTGGTAAAAAGCACTTCTGGCAACTAAGGCTTCCTGAGCTTCCAGTAATGACAGAGGTGGATTCAGAAGCACCCCCAAAGTGCAACCTTGCTCCTTCACGGGGAGTGCAAACCCACATAGGAGAGGCAACTCACCCGTTTCTCGGACTCGGGACATCTAAGCCAACCTCCTGTAATGCAGGAATTGCAGACATCCAAATAATAGTAATAATAACAACAGTGACAAAATATTTTTTTTAAAAAAAATACACTTAATTTGAAAAGCAAATAACAAATGAATAAAAAAAGAATGTTTTTTTTAAAAAAACATCAAATTCCTTGTAGTGCAAGCCTTACCAACTCTACTCTAAAGTAAGCCTCATAGAGTTAAGCGGAAAGCGAGTGCAGGGTTGCGAGGCTCCCAGACCCACCACCTCTGGGAATTGTATCCATTCATTTCCTTTTCCTATTTTATTTTATTATTTTATTTTATTTTATTTTATTTTGGGGGGGGAGTTTAACTTGACGCCCAAAAAGTTTAACTTGGCACTCAATAGGGGTAACGTATGTGTGTATTTCAAGGGATAAAAGGGTCGCCTGTTATTAATTGTTGTTGTTGTTGTTATCATTATTATTATTTCTTCTTTCTGCCCCCACACCCCAAAGAGCACTCCCTAAGGAACAGGCAGGGGGGGCCTTTATGGAGGAGAGAAAAGCCCCCGAAGGAACGAAAAAAATTTTCCTTCTTCTTTCTCCACCCCACCCCCCAAATTTGGTCTTCTGTCCACACACAAAATAATTACACCCTTCGCCCAAAATCAGGTCCTCCATTTATTTATTTACTTCTTTATTTATAAAAATATTTATGATTGGCAAAAAATATTTGAAAGACTCCTAACCTACATACCCCGCCCCCCTCCGCCTATGTTTCTTCTTTCTTGCTTTCCTTTTTTTTACTTCTAAAAAGGAATTTCGATTGCTTTTGTACCATCCGAATAGAAAAAGCGATGCGCCAAGCGGATTGGAGCGGGAGTCTCCCCAATGGATTTCCAAGAGACACAGCTCGATCCCCCGCCGGGGAGGATGAACTTTGGAAAAGGATTCCCTCTCCGTCGCTTCTCAGGACAACCCGCCCCCTCCAGCACCAAAAGAATATTTCAAAACAAAACAAAACAAAATGAATACAATGAATGAATACAATGATATCCAGTAAATAAGGTCGCTGCAGAAAAAGGCGGAAGAAGATGCGAAACTTCGAAAATTTCCTTACAGGAAATCAAGCATAATTAGGAGGAGAAATTAATAATAGTTGTTACAATAGTAACGATGATAGAAGTGATAGTTGTAATAATTTGTAGTAGTGCAATAAAGATGGTAGTAATAGTAATAGTAACAGTTGTAATAGAATCAGTACCAATAGTGCTAACAGTTCTGAGTATAATAATAGCACCAAAGAGTAGCAACATCCTGACTGGACCCCCCGCCTCCTGCGCTGCTCTGCCCGTCTCCAAAGAGCGACTTGAGGCACCTGCAGCCCACCTGCCCTCACCGGAGCCCCCAAGTTGTAGCAGCGCCTTCCTGGAGCTCCAACTTCCCATCCCGGCTAACACCGGTTGCCTTATCCTCCTTAGATCTCCCCGCAGGGAGGACATCCCCGCTGACCTGCTGGACGCTGCGCGCTCTGCGGGTTTCTTCCTTCCTTCTCTTTCTTTAAAACCACTCCTTTCTTCCATTCTGCCTCCGTTTCCTTCAAAGTGCTTCTCAACCTTTCCTTCCTTAATTTATCTTTCCCCGTCTCTCTTTCCCCCCTCGGACCCCCAGGCCAGATGGCCGCCCCAACGGCCAAGCCTCCTCCTCCTCCTCCGCGCGCCGCCGCCGCCCCGTCGGGTCCCCCTTACCTGCATTCCGGCCGAAGGCGCAGGCCTCGGCGGGGGCCGCTTTCTCGGCCCGGGCTCGCTCCAAGAGCATCGTGCTGGGGCAGAAAGTGAGTCGAGGTCCCTGTTGGGGGTTCGGGGAAGGGGAAAGGCACGCAAAGACACCCAACCTCAGAGGGAGCTCTGACGGCCAACCTGGAACTCCGGGCGCTGCTGCTGCGGGTCCTTTTTACATTCCCTCCGCGGAGCCCGGGCTGCGTCAGGTCGACCTCTGGCTGTTCCCTGCGATGCTGGGAAGGGTTTTGGGTGGGGGAGAGGGAGGGGGCGACAGGACTAGCAGCAGCGAGGGATATCCCCTGGCAAAGCTTGTGGGCGTCACTTGAGCGGAGCCCCCTCCCCTCCCCAGGGGGCGCTCCTCCTCCTCTTCTCCCCACCTCCCCTCCCCCTTCCCGGGTTCACTTCCCATACCAAGAAGCTTCCTTAACATAACAAAGCCCCCCAGAGCCGTTGGCAAGCCAGGCGAGGCGCCGGAGTTGTCCGCGGTGCTGAATAGACGCTTGGCGGGCTTTTATCCGCCAGGCGGGCTGGCCTCCCCTGTCCGTCCACACATGCGGCTAGTCCTCACTGAGACAAGACCCCCCCCGAGCCCGCCTTTTAACGCTTCAGCCTCCACCTGAGTGAAAACGCCTCCAGGCAACCACACAAAAACTGTGGTAAAGAACCCTAACGCGTCTCCTTTGCTTTGTAGAGAATGTCACTTCTTCTTCTTCTTCCTCTTCCTCTTCTTCTTCTTCTTCTTCTTCTTCTTCTTCTTCTTCTTCTTCTTCTTCTTCTTCTTCTTCTTCTTCTTCTTCTTCATTTAGGTTTCCCCTATCTAGGACTCTGCCTGGAAGCGACGGATCCAGGCACCTCAATGAGGACTAGGGTCACGGTGCGTATTTATAAATTCATTTTATATTCTGCCCTTCCTCCAAAGGAGCTCAGAGTGCATATTGGCTCCTTCAAAGGAAGAGTGGAATGGAAATTGAAACTGAATAAATAATTATTTCTGGGGTGCAGCTCTGAGGAATTTGCATCCCACCCCACCCCCCATTTTTGGCTTCTGAGTGCCAACTTTTTGTCCTCTTCCAGAAGACTCACCATCTGACCAGCAGCACCTTCCTAAAAAACTTATCTAAAGTTGGTCTGTGAGCACTTAGAAAAAGATGCTATTGATACCTAAGATCCAGCACGGCTTTCTCAAATAACAAACAAGTCAGGCCAGATAAATCTCATTTCTTTCTTTCTTTTTGATAGAGTTACAAGGTTGGTGGGTCGGGGAATTCTGTGGAATTAAGTTTTGATTTCAGCAAGGCTTTTGACAAAGTCCCACATTATATTATTGTGGGGCAGCTGGTAAAATGTGATCTGAACGAGGTAACTGTTAGGTGGATTTGTAACTGGTTGACTGACTGGATGGAAAAAAAATGTTCACCAATGGTTGCTCATCATCCTGGGGAAAAGGGACAAGTGGGGAGCCACAGGGTTCTGTTCTGGGCCCGTTGTTGTAAAACATCTTTATAAATGACTACAATGAAGGTTTTGAGGGGATGCTCATCCAATTTGCAGATGGCACCAAACTGGGAGGGATAGCTAATACTGCAGATGACAGAATTGGAATTCAAGATGGCATTAACAGATTGGAGAATTGGGCCCAAACTAAGGCAGGAAGAACCAGCTGCTCAAAAAAAGATGGGGAACACTTGGCTTGCCAGTAGGATCTAGGGGTCTTAGCAGACCACAAGCTTCACATGACTCAACCTGTAATACAGCAGCAAAAATAAAAGTGAATGCTATTCTAGGGTGGCAGATTAGCAGCCAAACCTAACAAATGCATATTCTTACTAGTTAGCATGAGAAACGGCTAAGGCCATAGAGCTGTACTGCTGATGCACAGAAACTCAGACCATAGAAATACCATTGGTAGAAAGGGCTCTGTGTGATGTCATTTCCCTTCTTCTCCAGAAGAGAAAGTAGTATATTGATACTTCTTGTCCCACCTCCCTCTCTCTTCCTTTGACCAGTGTTAGATGTAGACATGCCTCTTCTTGTTCCAGCTTTAGGCACATGCCTGAAGCTGGTTATAGCTGTTACTGCTACTGTTGCTCTGAACCAATGCATGATTATAAAATGAATCTTATTTTTAAACTTACTTTACAATTGTTGCCTGATATTTTTGTTAAGTGGGGTAAGAAAGGGGGAGCCAGCTTACTTCATTGCTGAATCTGCTGAAAACAAGCTTTTGCAACCCAATTCCCATGCTTTTAGTTTTGCCCCAAGTATTTTGAAACTCTCCAGCCCACACATATGGGTGCCTGGAATGATAAATTGCAATTAATATATACTCTTCTACCCATTAAAACCCATCCCATACAGAGCAGACCAAGATTCTCTTTTTATTAAAAAAAAATATATATAATTTTTATTCATTTTCCAAACAAGTTTTATACAGTCAACAAATTATTTTACACTCATGCTTCAATTTTTGACTTCCCTCAGTTTCTCTGTCAATCTTTCGAAAAATTTCTATTTATTGACGCATTTCTAAACATGATATTGCCTTTCCCCACTCCTTTTCCTCTTACTCTCTTTTTTGCAGTATTTCTTACTATTTCACAGAGTCTCTTCAAAACCAACAAGCGTTGTCTGTACATCGCATATATTTTTCAGATATTCTGTAAATTTCCCCCAGTCCTCGATAAACTTTTGGTCTTTCTCGTATCGAATCTTCCCAGTCAATTTGTCCAATTCTGCATATCCAATCAATTTCCTTCTCCATTCTTCCACTGTTGGAATTCTCAAAGGTCTTGAAACCTTATGAGGAACAGCTCAGGAAGTTAGAGATGTTTAGACTGGAGAAGAGGAGAGAGGATATGACAGCCATCTTCAAATATTTAAAGGGCTGCCACATGGAAGATGGAACAAGCTTGTTTCCTCCTGCTCTTGGGGAAAGAACCTGAACCAAAAGCTTCAAGTAAGAAGAAAGGAGATTCCTACTAAATATCAGGAAGAACTTTCTGAAGGTAAGAGTCAATTGGCACAACCTTGAAGATAGGAGACTTCCTTCTTTGGAAGTTTTTAAAGCAGAATTTGAATGGCAATGTCAGTGATTCTTTAGCTATGATTCCTTCATAGCAGGGGGTTGAGCTAGATGACACTTAGGGGACCCTTCCACCTCTACAATTCCATGATTCTATGACCATCCTTGAATTGAAGGGCACCCAGATGAGACTCCCACGTCTTCCTGGTGGAGGAGCTCGGTTTCAGTACCTGGGGCAGGGCAGGACTTCTATGGTAAACTGTGTGATATTGCCAAGATCATTGATTGTGACCATAAATAACAATAATCCAGGGTATATGAGGTGTTAAGGTAAAGGTACCCCTGCCCGTACGGGCCAGTCTTGACAGACTCTGGGGTTGTGCGCCCATCTCACTTAAGAGGCCGGGGGCCAGCGCTGTCCGAAGACACTTCCGGGTCACGTGGCCAGCGTGACAAGCTGCATCTGGCGAGCCAGCGCAGCACACGGAACGCTGTTTACCTTCCCGCTGGTAAGCGGTCCCTATTTATCTACTTGCACCCGAAGGTGCTTTCAAACTGCTAGGTTGGCAGGCGCTGGGACCGAACGACGGGAGCGCACCCCGCCACGGGGATTCGAACTGCCGACCTTTCGATCGGCAAGTCCTAGGCGCTGAGGCTTTAACCCACAGCGCCACCCGCGTCCCTATATGAGGTGTTAGAGGAGGAGTAATACCTCTGGTGGAGGACATGTCCTACTCCTTCTGGGATAGTTTGCCCACCTTTGGTCCCCACCCTGTCCTCAACTCTTACCTGTGGCTCCTAGATGCTGTCATCTTGTATTAGCAGCCACACCCCATTAAATTACTTTGACTGGCCAGCTAAACCAGGTGAGAGTAGCTGATGTATCTCAAACCCTTGATGAATTAGGGTAGAGGTTTCATGTGTGTAGGTGTGTCGTGTGAACACTCCCCACACTCCTTCCAGGGCTGGAAATTGACTAGTCTAACCCCTGCTTTGCTAGTAAAATTTAATTACGGTGTCACAAAATGATGCACATCTAAAAAGTGTCACCAACATGAAAAGTTTGGAAAGCTCTGAGTTAGGGACTTCCCCTGCATGCAAAGACGGGCTCCAGCAGATGAGACCAATAGTGGGTCCAACGGTGAAGAAGGCAGCTTCTGCATGTGCTGTAGAGGGAAGTGAGGGGCAGATGGGGCTCATCAAACCTCCACTGTCTTGCAGGATATCTTGGGGAGAAGAAATGGTTAAGGAGCAAACCCTACACAAATCCAGAGTGTAGTCCCTAAGTCAGTTGGGTAGCCTCTGCTGCTTCCAACCAGAGTCCAGCTGCTCCCTCATTTTTATTGGAGGTTTTTAAGCAGAGCTTGGATAGCCAGATGTCAAGGATGCTAGTTGGGATTCCGGCATGGTGGGGGTTGGGCTAGATGGCCCTTGGAGTGCCTTCCAGCTATACAATTCTGATCCTATGTGAAGAAAGCTTGCATACTAATAAGAGCAGGATAACTGGTGCTTAAATTCTAGGAAGGCATGGGAGAACCTCCCTTCTTCAACCCTTCTCTTCACCAACTAATCAATCCTGAAGCAGATTCAGTTTCTGCTGCCTTCCAGAGTGTAAAGGTTCACCAAAGGGGGTTGATTGATTGATATTCTATCCCACTTTTCTTCCAAGGAGCTCAAGGTGGTGCACATAATATACTCACAGTGGCCAACCAGATGCTCCAGAGGGAAGCCCCTGAGCAGGATCTCAGTATAAGAGCACTCTTTTGCTGGGGTCAAATGAAAGAGGGGCAAAAGAGAGGCAGTTAAGAGAGGACAAAAACCACCACCTGCTTTGGGCAGTAGGTGGTGCCAGAGAGCAAAGAACCAAGTACCTTACAGGTAAGAAAGAGGGGTGGAATCAAACATGCAAACTACATTCAGGGGGTTGGACTTGATAGCCCTTGCTGTCCCTTCCAACTCTACGGTTCTGTGATTTAAATGCAGGCTGCGAAAGTAGCACATAGAGAGGGAAGTGAATGTGGCTCGTAACTCAGAAAGGAGAAACATGCAGATGGCAGGTTAGAATAACAGAATTGCAGGGTTGGGAGGAACCCCCAAGGGTCATCTAGCCCAACCCCCTTCAGTGCAGGAATCACAACTAAAGCATCCCTGACAGATGGCCATCCAGCCGCTGCTTAAAAACCTCCAAGGAAAGTTGTTCCTTGCAAACTTGGTAGCCAAACACCATGCGGATTTGCAAAACTGCCTGCAAAATCTCAAAACAAAATCAGAACCACAAACCTCTT